GGCCGGGCCCGCCGGGCGGGGGGGGCTGGCGTGGCGTGGGGCCGGGGCGCCGCGCCTCGGCCGGGCAGCCCGGAGTTTGACAGCTGTCATCGGCCCTGGGGTCCTGTGGAGTCCCGCAATAGGCGCAGCGGGGTCATGTTTGAGGTTGGCCCTGTCGGGCAGATAAGGGACCTGGTATTGCTGCCCTTATCAGCGCGCACGGCGGTTTTTGTCTACACTCTGTCAGTAGCCCGGCTAGCGAAGCATTAACTTGCTTGTGTTTACAGGTGCAATCAACCAAAAGAGCGGATCCGGCTGAACTACGAAATATTTTTTTGCAGGTAAAAAGATCTGTCTAATGTTGTTTGATTGACAGACTTTTATTTCTTGCCCTTTCAGCAGCTTGCCACGGCATCATACACGTGTCGTGCTTGTGGGGCGCTTAAAAGTTCACTTTGCAGGCACAGTGTATTGAAAGGGCCTTCAGGCTTTGAGGAGAAACTGCTCCTGACACAAATTGTGCTTACCCACTTCCAAATTATAATCTCAAATAGTTTTATGAGATATTTTCTAATTTTCTATAAAGCAAATAATTATAACCATAACTAGGTACTGTTATGTTTTCAAATACACTTTTGCAAGACTCTCAAAAATTGTTCTTCCATGGCTGTATGCTTTGTCCTTGGGGTTTATATGTGTTCCTCTTACAAATGAATGGACGACTGGCAATGTTTTTAGAAGTTAAAATTGATTACTTAAGATTGATGTATTTCATAATACTATCTCTTGCAGGGCATTAGAATTAACATATATAAATAACAGCATGAAGTTTTCTCCATTCCCCTTAGTTACGGTGAAGCACGATCTAAAAGGAAAATCCAGTCAATCCTAAAACTTTGATAATAAGGTTTGAATCAGGCAGATGGAATATGAAGAACAACTATGTTTTAGGTCCATAGTCGGACCGCTAATATTTCCAAAATCACTAAAATACCTTTTTTCTTTCCCTTTATGTTGAATATTATACAGTATATTCCAGAAACTTTACTCTATGAAAAAGGAGAGAGTATAATATTAAGTATTAGAGCTAATACTGTGAATAATAAAATCTATTGTTTCATCTTTGACATGTTTCTTTTGGTCCTAGCATATTATTTAACAGTTTCCACGTATGATACTTAGACAGAGATACCTTTTTGCCTGAGAGGGAGAAGCTATGTCTCAACCATAATTTTGGCAGATTTTTGCTTTTGCATACTGGATTACACTGGTAACATTGCTTGAGTGCTAAAACTTAGAATGTTGGAATCAGACTGTGAAAGCCCAGCATTTAGTTTCCAGTAAAAAATCTTCCATCACAGGTTCATTTATTGTTGACATGACATTTAGCTTTTGTAGATAAGAAATACAGTAGAGTAGGTTAATAAAATAAGCAACATGAATTTTTTTTTTTTTAAATATATGTTAATACAATATAAAAATGTGTGGTTCTAGAACATCACACAGCTCTTC